AAAGAAGACTTAGGATAATGTAACTTTGAGAGGTTAAGGACTGTATCATTTCTTCTGTTATACCCTTCTAGTGACAAGCACAGCTTCTGATAGAGTTTGTAGTAATTTTTCTGAATTCATTTAATAAGTAAACAATTAAAAACATGTAAGCATGATGTGAGTGGATATAAGATATATTTAAAGGGTTATTGAGTCAAATGGAAGAACATTTTCCTTTGTGCCCTCAGCAGGTAGAATTAGGTCCAATGAGTGAAAGAAGACAAATATTTAAAAGTACTTGCTAATACTCAGAACTGTCTAAATATGTAATGAGCTGCCCAGGGGTATTTGGGAGAGGAAAGGTGGCCACAGGACAGAAATAATTTTACAGGGATATGGGTGGGACATTGGGTCAAGGCCAAGCCTTAAGGGTCTTTCCAGCTAGATTTCCCCCCTGTGGAATCAAAGTGAACATGGAGAGAAAGGCATATGCCTAGAAAGGTAAAATTGGAAAGGTTTTGAATCTTCCTTTTGATTACATGTGTGTTCAACTTCTATTCTCATTTGGCTTCTCCCCTAAATATGGGCTTTATCAGAGCTGATTGGAGAACGGTCCTTAGACACTGGTGGTCTCTGAAGCTGGTTAAATGCCTGATTCAGTATATTACATAATTATATATATACTGAGTAGTGTAGTAAAAAAAAAAAATATATATATATATGTATATAAAATCTAACTTTAGGAAAATGTCTACCTCTGAAAAGGCACACTACATTATTGGTAATTCTTTAGTCTAGAAAGCAGAAGTACTTCTTTCTCATTAATAATAATGGCAAAACCAAAAAATAATTATTGATAAAAGCACCGGTAGAAATAAAATTTTATGGCAAATAATTAAAAACAAATAAGTAATAAAAAATACTCATTGCATGCCAAGAACTGTGCCAAATACCACGGAGCTCATTTAATGCTACAAAACACTTAAAGGACTCTTATTAGCCCCATCAGCAGATGAGAAAATCAAGGTTATGTAGGTTAAGACTCTTGCTTACCACACTTGAGGCTACATCATTAGAACTGGCATTAAACAGCAGATCTGAGTGAGTCCACAACCATTTTCTTCAACATGCTAGAAACCATCTTCTACCCCTTTCTCCCCGCTTCTCAATATTGGTGCACATGAAACATTTCTGTGTGTCTCTGGAAAATAGGTTATGCCTTAATCATGTGAGCATGTTGTGCTTTTTCTGTATTGGAAAAACACTAAGGAGGAAATCTCTAAAGAACAGTATGTTGAGTATTAGGTTGGAATTTGCTCAAAGAGTTACTTGGTCAAACACTACCTTGTTTTACTATCTTGTCGACTCAGTGCAGGACAAAAACTGGTGCCAAAGAAGAGTGTTAAAATCCCATAAATCATCTGCTGAACTTTACACAGAAACTTCTAACAAACACCATTAATCCAATGTTTACCAAAGGAAACAGCTTTTTCTGAAGATATTTATGGAAAGGATCCAATGTTTAAAAACATTTTCAAAACAGGTTTTAATTTTAAACCATAAAACATGTTAATGATAGAAACTTTGATAAAAGAAAAGAAGTATAAAGAGAATATTTTGTTAGAAAAGCCTTCCTTTTTAATTTCTCGTGGATCATCTGATTTCTGTCTATTTGTTCTGGCTCAGGCTTCTGACAAAACATGGAGCAAGCCCACCTTCTTTTCCTTTTAATGGCCCACCATATACCTGCGGGCACGCTCCAGGCTCCCTGTCAGGCTGGGTCTTCTCTTCTACAGTGTAAACAGGATAATAATGAAAATGTGTTGAATTGAGGATTTGGGCTTTAAAGGTACAGGGACCCTCTCAGGGGAAAAGGTAATGTATTAGGAGGGATTCAAATTGGTGCTAAAAATCTCATCAGAAGCTGAGATTGCTTTGGGATCAGCTCTTCTTTCTGTTCTCCCTTGTGGGTCACAAGGTTGCCATCTTTTAAAGCAACTTTGCTTTCTTTGTTCTCTTTCTCTTTGGACAGCAACTTCTCTGCATCTTTTCTCTTATCTTAAAGTTTCTGCTTCCTATAATTTCACCTTGCCATGACCCCTCTTGACTCAAAGCAGTCTTTGGTTTTCATCTTCTACCACCCATTATTTCATTTTCTTGTATTAATACTTTCATGTTCCTAAAATAAAAATCCTGACCTAGCTGTGTGAGCGTGCGCGCACGTGTGTGTGTGTGTGTGTGTGTGTGTGTGTGTGTGTGTGTGTGTTGTGTGTTGTAACCAGGTCACTCCATAGTTCTCAGACCAGCCTGTAGGTTGCCTGTCGTGGAGCTAGGTACATGGTGCCTGGATAAATCCATCATTGCCTTGGGATTGGGTCTTCTGGTCAACTTCATGGTCAGGTAGTAAATAGGTTGTGAGAAAAACAGCTTCCTTTCATCAGCACAGCAGGCATCCTGAGGCTTGGCATACCCAGCAGAATCATAATCCGTTCCATTTCCTTAAAGCTCTTCATGTACAAAATGCCCTCAAATAACATGACTTATCACCAACACTGTGAGGCAGCTACTGTTTCTAATTTTAAACAACAAAAAAAACAACTAAAATGAAGTATCTGGCTCCAAGCCACCCTGTTAACAAGAGAGGTCTAGAATTATGGTCTGTCTGATTTTAAGACAGGTGTTCTTTCTTTTATCTCAGAGGTTCTCAAAATTTAACATACATCAGAATCATTTGGAGGGCTCCAGAGTTTCTGATTCACTGGGTTTAGGATAGAGCCAGAGAATTTGTTGACAAGTTTCTGGAAGAGGTTCTTGTTTCCGGATGTTGTCTGGGACCATACTTTGAGAATCACTGTAGTATATAAATGGCTTCATCTGAGGCTCTCACTAATAAGCAATTGTAAGGTGCCCTTGCGGATGTCTATTATCACTCTCCCTCTACATTAAAGAAGGGGAGCATCTCTTCTACGTGCCAGACACTGAGTTACTGTAGGCAAAGACTCTCATCCCCGGCCCCTGGCACAGTGCTTTCATGGTTCATAGCACTGGCTTTAACTGATACTAGTACCTCTTTTGCAAAATATACTTCTTATTAAGCATTTATTTCTCACCACACAAATAGTTTGCAAAAATTCGTTGAAAAGAATGTGGCCTTTCAATGCTGTTTGTCTCATTTAGTATTTTTGTTTTTCAAGCCTTGTTGAAGAAATATTTTAAAAATAATGCATTAGTTCTTGTTCCTATTTACTGTGTAGAGTTTAATGAGCTCACTTTCTTTGATGATGAAACACTAGCCAATTGTTTAGGATTGGGGTTAGGGTGAGGTATGTGAGGTTGAGTCATTCAGTGGCAGAGTTGAATCCTATCTCTATTTAAAGTTTTATGTTTTATTTATCATGTTTTTTACATTAATTTTGATTTATAATTTTGATTAAATAAAATATTACATTATTTATCTTGCTGCCAAGTTTTTGGTGTCCTTTTAAAATTTGAACCTAAGGTGAATGTCTTTCTAATGTCACCCTGGTACCGTCCCTGCTAGTGTTCTGATTCCAAACACCATTATTTTAATTGTTTCTGGTACAGATTTGACTGAATGTGGGATCGATCCCACTGCTACCTGAGTTTTTATATTTCCATGGAAGCTTATTGAGATAGTGTAGTTGGAATTCTTTACGTATTTTTTTACCTCCTGCCATACTATTTGCCCTCACAAATACATTCCTAGGTTCTGCCCATTCTTCAGGCCTGATCTAACTTCCCACTCTCCATGAAGACTTTCTCACACATTGCCAGTGTGCCTCATCTTCCCATCCTGGGAACACTTACACTAATCCCCATTCCAGCAATCACAGTTATTTCAGCTAGACCCCAACTGTGCCCCATTTCTGAGTTCTAGTTTTTTAGGATTTACTTCTATCTTTGAATTACAGATTTTCACAATGCTTTTCTAGATCGTAACTTTAAGTATCTGAATTATGCTCAAGCTTGACTATGCCATTGGTTATCATTAGTTTCCTTAAAAACAATATCCTGTGGGGAAAACCTAGGAACATGATTTTTCCTTTTCTCTTTTGTAGCAGCATCATTCCAGGTCCCAACCCCTTTTTAGTGGTTAGTGATGTTGTCTGTAGATTTCCTCTTGTCCTCTGAAAATTTTCCTTTGTCTGATCAAGGGCTTTTGATATTATTTTCTGTTGTTTTTATTTCCTTAGCAATAAGTCAGTTCTGAAGTGGGAACAGATATCATGAGCTAGTAGTTAGTTCATTGAATTTGGCCCAGAACTTCTCTCTTTTGCTTCTGAAATGCTATATTGCAATCTTTATCCCTCCATGTTTAATCAATCCTGGCAAGGTTCTAACCTTGGGACTATTACCCAGGTATATAATTCCTGACATGACAGGGTTCTCTTTGAAATGGCAAATGTCTTCTCTCTTACCTCTTGGCCATCTAGTAAGGAATTAGTCCTCATTTTAGTATCTGCTTTATTTTCTCTCTAGGTCTTTTCTCTGTATGTGTTTAACAGAAGCAATAATGTCCATCTGCACCACTTATCACTTAAACAGGAGCTTTATTCTTTATAATCCAGATAACAGAATATGTATAACAGATTATTACATACATAATCTGTTACACTGTGTATATCATAAATGTTAGGCAGGAAAGGGCTATTGATTTAGTCTTGCAGACTATTACTTGCTTATTAAATTCCCCTCCATACCCTCTTCAACCAAAGTTGTATCAGGAACCAGTATCAGATTTTTGGCAAATAGCCATAAAATGAAATTTGGATCCTGGTAGTCTGATCCTATATGGATATACTGGATAAATCTTTATACTGATGACTCTCAGTATTTGTTGTTGTTGTTCTGATCAGTTTTGTGTTTCCTGTAGAAATGGAAGACTCCCACTGTCCATTTATTCATTGGTTGGGACATAATCCCTCTTCCACTTCCTATGAGATGGAAGGGGTAGTGGCCATAATTACCAAGGGAGCTGACAGGGACTGAAACAAGTGCTCCTAGAAATCATGCCCAATGAAGAAATAGAGAACCAGCTTGAGGCAGCTGTTGATAAAGGCCATAGCTGATATTAAGGGGTCTATAACTAAGACCACCTGGTGTAGGTCCTCTCTATTCTCTTGATAGGAGGCAAAGTCCAGCCATAGGGACACTTGTAAGGACCACAGCAGAGGAATAAGGCAATCACTATGGTTGCAAGGACCTGCAAGGGTCAGCTGAACCTGGCCAGCTGGCTTTGTTTTAACTTAAAGGCTACAAGGATATAGCAGCAGGTGATAATGGCCAGAGCCAGAATGAAGCCAAAGACACAATGGCTAGAGATCAACTTTTGTTACTGCAGAATAATTATTTCCTTCAACAGTCGATGACTTCCTTGAGTTTTATTTCAAAGGTCATATTGAGCCGAAACCGGTTTGGCTCAGTGGATAGAGCGTCGGCCTGCGGACTGAAGGATCCCAGGTTTGATTCCGGTCAAGGGCATGTACCTGGGTTGTGGGCACATCCCCACTGGGGGATGTGCAGGAGGCGGCTGATCGATGTATCTCTCTCGTCGATGTTTCTGACTCTCTATCCCTCTCCCTTCTTCTCTGTAAAAAATCAATAAAATATATTTAAAAAAACAAAGAAACAAAAAAAAAAACAAAGGTCATATTGAAGCAATAGGTGATCCACCGTAACTATTTCCTTGAAGACAAAGTAGGGTACATAGAAGGAGATTGCCAAAAGCTATGTTCCCAAAACTCCCAGAGCTACTTTAGCTTGTGTGTGGTGGTTCCAGGATTGGATTGGCCAGAAGATTACAACACAGCAGTTCATAGAAGTGAGGGTCAAAAGAAGGACACTGGCCAGAAAGTAAAGAATAGACATGGTGCTGTTGAACTTACAGAGCAACTGGCCAAAGAGCCAGTGGTAGTTCAGAGCCAGCAAGATGAGCTGGAGAGGCAACAAGAAGATGATGGTAAAGTCAGCCATGGCCAAGTTGAGGTACCATACCGTGTTGACTGTGCAGGGCATGTGGAAGCCGGCCACTCAGATGACGAGGCCATTGCCAGTCAGACCTAGGAAGAAAGTTATAGACTATCATGGAAAAGATGTCAAGAGGAGACCAAAGAATCATCATAATAGTCTGACATAGGCATAGAACGCTCTATGGCCAGCTGTGATAACATAGATATTTTTTCCACACTACCGTAAAAAGAGCCAAGGTTTAGTTAGACTCAGACTTCCACAACTACACACATTGCTTAAATTCTTACCATCTCCCGTCTTATAATAACTACAGAGAGCTTTCATATTCCTGCTCTAGGATGCATATTTCTCTACTGACGATATTTCTACTCCTCCTTCGTCTGCTCCTCCTCCTCCTCCTGTCCCTTCTCTACCTCCTCATTTTATTTTTATATTCAGTTTCTTTGTTACATTTACAGCACTTATTCTATGTGACCTACTTTCCATATGATATTGCATATGATATAATGATTTAAACACCTACTATGAATCCAATGTTTTGCTCATATATTGCATTTAATTTATTACTCATAACAAATCTGTGATGTAGAAAGGAATTATTATGGATGAGGAAAAAAGGTTTATAGAAGTTAGTAAATTCCTGAAAGTCAAATATCCAGTAGCTAAAAAAAAAAAATGAAGAACTGAATTTTGAGCCTAGTGCTGCTTAATTAAAGATTCATATTCTTGACACTGTTCTTTGATTCTCTCCTCGGTGTCAAGGGGAGGCTCATCTTTATTTTTTCAATTTTGTTTACAAAGGAGCTTTCCTATACTTCACAGTATTTAATAACTCCCAAGATGGAATGCTTGGCCAATCATGTTTTATTATTGATCTCATTTTATATATATGAAAACAAAGACTCCAGGAGGCTGCTTTCATGTAGCTCATGACACTTCGAACTAGCAGATCTGGGTCTTGAACTAAGACCTCCTGATGCCAAACCCTATCTTTTCCCCACCTCATCACAAAGCTTCCTTAGTGTGGGGAAAGGGTATCTTGAAGCTGGTGTCTAGAGGTGTTGGACTCTCTCCCAATGAACCCTGAAGTTCTCTTAAGGGAGTAGGGTCCCTTCAGCTGCATTTAGGAGCTGGATATAAAAGTAGCATTCTTATGAATTAATTACTTTCTCAGTTTCTTATGGAAAATTCATTAAGTTTTGCCTCATATTGTTGATATTCCTGCCTATTTCTGTTTTTTCCCCCCTCTGTTTCAATTGTTACATCCCTCAAACTGTGGGGATTGTCTTCAATCCTATTAATACCCTCATGTTTTGCTTACACTGTTCTTACTGCCTAGAATGTCCCCACCCTTTTCTGTCAGTGAAATCCTGCACAACATATTCTAGTAGATTTCTTTGCGTCCTCCTCTGGTTGCTCCTAGTATTTGGGTATCTGCTTAATTCCAGCAGTAATGCCTATTTATCAGAAATCATTGTCTCAATATTCATCATAGAAGCCACATATTATTCTGCTTCTGTCATTTAGCATCTTAGGCAAGTGATTTACCCTCTATGAGTTTTATGTTCTTCCTCTTTAAAATGGATATATAATATTTATACCTCATAGGGTTGTTGCCAAGCTCTAAAGGAATAATCCTGTGAAATATTTGGAAGTATCTCTGATATATCAAAAATACTGTTGATAATGTCAGTTATTATTTTTGTTGATGTTACTCTATTCCATAAGCATTTATTTGTTTATTGTAGTGCTGATCAAGATTAAATGAGATGATATATGTAAATATGGATTATAAAATCTAAAGAGATATATAAAGCAGAAGCCTTCTCCTAGAAGGCACTCATTTCTTTTATTGTCTTATTTACTTATTTACTTAAGTCTCTCTTTTCTTTTTTTTTAAATTGACTTCAGAGAGAGAGGAAGAGGGGAGGGAGAGAGAGAGAAAAGAGAGAAACACCCATCAGTTGCCTCCTGTACACGCCCTGACTGGGTATCAAACCCTCAACCTGGGTATGTGTCCTGACGGGGAATCGAACCCGCCACTTTCTGGTGTATGCTTTAACCAACTGAACCACACCAGTTAGGACAAGCCTCCCTCTTCTTGACCAAACCCAGCTTCCCACAAGCATTTCCCCAAAAGGCTATCCCCAAACACCTGTTGAGCCCTCATGTGCCTCTGTTAGGAGGGGAGCCCACACACACTCACCTTGGCTAGCTTGGGGCCCTGCTTCCTTGCTGGGGCTTTTGAAACAGACAAATCCTTCCTGGAGGTCTTTCCACTGTATGGGGCTATGGGATTCTAAGGCATCTGTGTCAGTTTTTAGTCTGGAGAAGACTCTACTAAGGAACTAAATAATACACTGGAAAAGTGGAACTTAGAGATATAAGCATGAAGGTTTGTCTAAAAGCCTAAAATTCTTTCACAATAAGCATGTTTTGTTTGTTTGTTTTAACTCCTTGGGGACTTGAAGTTTAGTGGTCTTTGGTTTAGGCCAGTGGCCAGCAAACTGCGGCTCGCGAGCCACATGCGGCTCTTTGTTTCCTTGAGTGTGGCTCTTCCACAAAATACCAACTTCTGCGCATGGGCCACGAAGTTTCAATCGCACTGTATGTGTGCACCCGCACATGGTATTTTGTGGAAGAGCCACACTCAAGGGGCCAAAGAGCTGCATGTGGCTCGCGAGCCACAGTTTGCCAACCACTGGTAGGTCATTGAAACTTTTAGGAAATGTCAACCTTGTCCTTGAAGGAATTTGTGTCTAAGCTTTTTAAACAAATGTATAAAAAATAATTCAAAAGTACATGAGCATAGTAAAGCTTGATGTTAATGTAAACAGTAACAGTTAACATTTGTGGAGTGCTTAGTATAGGGCAGCTTTCATCTCTCTTTTGTCTGTACTTTGGCAAGAGCAGTATGATGTGATGGCATTCTGAAAGACCACATCAGAGAATGTCTTATGGAGATGGAAGGGGTGATGGCTTGATCACAAATGGCAATAAAATCACTGGACTTTGAAGGCTTTTGAGTCTTAATTTTGAGACCAAGCTGTAAAATGAGCTTAACCTCATTGAGCCTTAGCAATAAAATTAGTATTGATTCTTATAGCTTAAATAGGTCCAGTTAATGAAAGCAATTTGGCAACCAGAAAGCATACTATAAATGTGTGAATTATTACTTGATTTAAAATAGTTTGATATTATAAAGATGTAATGTTTGTATTTGGAATGGCCATCTCCAAGGTTATACTTGGGTAGATGGGAAAACTGAGGCTCAGAGAAGTTCTCTCTGGCCCTTGCACTGTTGAGACAGCTCATTCATTGCATCTTAGAAATACAGTGGGGCCTTGACTTACGAGTGTCCCGACTAACGAGTTTTTCGAGATACGAGCTGTCTCTCAGCCGATTTTTTGCTTTGAATTGCGAGCTAAAATTCAGGTTACGAGCCAGCTTCAGATACCCCACCGCTAGTTGGCGCTGCGAACGTCACAGTGAACGCCACAACATCAGCCCAGCATCACGTGTCTCACTCGTTCACTTTAAGATTTGACAAACGAGTAATTTGAGTTATGAGCTCCGTCATGGAACGAATTAAACTCATAAGTCAAGTCCCCACTGTATCTAGTGACCTCCCCTACATGCAGAAAGTTGGAACTGGATACCTCCCCAAAGGTGGGAGGGGTAACTTTGTGGGAAGACTGAAAGGTGAGTGAAGTTTTAAAATTGGAAGATAGGGGAAGAGGTAGCATTAGAAGTAAAAGTTGAATATAATTCTGAATTTAAATATTGAATATAAATATGTTAATATAAATTATGAATATGAATCATGAGTCTGCTGTGGTAAGCTGTGACTGTATTTGCCCATCTGTCTTTCCAGTCTTGAGGACAGCAGTTTGCTATGTGTCTTCCATCTCTTACAGATCCAAGAAGAGTTGTTGATTTTTTTAGTCTGTTTAGCTTTTTGCTTATTGTTAGGTCAGAATGGTGACTTCCAAGCTTTTTATATGTGGAATCAGAAAGCAGCTCTATCCTTTCTCAGTGCTTTCTACTATGGTCGATGATAAAATCTTGGAAGTCCTGCATTTGGTATCCATGACATAGGAATGTCAGGAGGATTGAATATGAATGTAATCTGTGTTCACCAGAATATCTATCAAAGTTTTCCCATGATGGAAGGATCCTGAAGCTCTCCCTCTGCACTGCTAAATATATATATATTTTTTAAATTAAATCTTTATTGTTCAGATTATTACATTTGTTCCTCTTTTTTTCCCCCCCATAACTCCCCTCCTCCCAGTTCCCGCCCCACCCTCCGCCCTCACTCCCCACCCACTGTCCTCATCTATAGGTGCACGATTTTTGTCCAGTCTCTTCCCGCATCTCCCACACCCCTTTCCCCCCCAGGAATAGTCAGTCCATTCCCTTTCTATGTCCCTGATTCTATTATAATCACCAGTTCATTCTGTTCATCAGATTATTTATTCACTTGATTCTTAGATTCACTTGTTGATAGATGCATATTTGTTGTTCATAATTTGTATCTTTACCTTTTTCTTCCTCTTCCTCTTCTTAAAGGATACCTTTCAGCATTTCATATAATCCTGGTTTGGTGGTGATGAACTCCTTTAGCTTTTCCTTATCTGTGAAGCTCTTTATCTGACCTTCAATTCTGAATGATAGCTTTGCTGGGTAAAGTAATCTTGGTTGTAGGTTCTTGGTATTCATCACTTTGAATATTTCTTGCCACTCCCTTCTGGCCTGCAAAGTTTCTGTTGAGAAATCAGCTGACAGTCGTATGGGTATTCCCTTGTAGGTAACTGAGTTTCTTTCTCTTGCTGTTTTTAAGATTCTCTCTTTATCTTTTGCTCTTGGCATTTTAATGATGATGTGTCTTGGTGTGGTCCTCTTTGGATTCCTTTTGTTTGGGGTTCTCCGCGCTTCTTGGACCTGTAAGTCCATTTCTTTCACCAGGTGGGGGAAGTTTTCTGTCATTATTTCTTCAAATAGGTTTTCAATATCTTGCTCTCTCTCATCTTCTGGCACCCCTATAATTCTGATGTTGGTACGCTTGAAGCTGTCCCAGAGGCTCCTTACACTATCCTCGCATTTTTGGATTCTTTTTTCATTTTGCTTTTCCGGTTGGGTGTTTTTTGCTTCCTCGCATTTCAAATCATTGACTTGATTCTTGCGCTCCTCTGGTCTGCTGTCGGGAGTCTGTATAATATTCGTTATTTCAGTCCGTGTATGCTTAATTTCTAGTTGGTTCCCCAATATAAGATCGAGGGTCTCATTAGTTTTCTTGTAGATCTCATTAAGTTTATCGGCGGCTTCTAAACAGTTCTTGAGAGACCTTAAAAGTGTGGTTCTGAACTCTATATCTTCCATTGACAATTTTGTCCTGTTTCTTTGTCTCCGCATTTTGTTATGCTTCCTTGGTGCACCCCCTAGTGGTCTTTGTTCGCAGTCTGATAGTTAAATCTTGATTGTTGTAGCTAATTCCAGGGAGGGTTTGACCTCCAGGCCAAGTGGCTATGAGAATCAGCTGTGTCAGCAGTGAGAGAACTTCTGTCCTCTAGGGAGGTGCTAATCTAGCCTTTGCCTGAGGCTATTCTGCAAATGCCTTTGTGCAGGGCTTGGGCAGGGCGGGTCTCACAGGATCAACAGGGTGGGCCGGAGAGAGCAGTTATGGCGGCTCTCAGTCCTGTCCCCAGGGGCTCTGCCTCTCTGAGTCCCAGCACCCGCTGTAAAGCTCAGAGAGAAAGCTGCACTCGCTCTGACCGAAGCCAGACAGTCCCCCTTCTCCCGTTTGAGTCTGGGTCCCTAAAGACTCGTCCGGATCTGGAGGTCAGATTCTGCGACTCCCTCCCGATTGAAAACGCCAACCGTGCCCTCCGCCGCCAGCCCGCTCAGCGCACTCCGCACCTCAGAATTTGACTTCAGCACTGCGCCTCCTCTGAGTGTCCGTATGCGTTTCTCTTTCCTCCTAGTTGTAGGACTTCCACTCAGCCAGCGTTCCTGTGGTTCTGGGTGATGTCCCTTCCGTTTTTTGGTTTCACTTTTGAAGTAGTTGTTCAAAGCAGCAAACTCCGGCGTTAGTCTATGCCGCCATCTTGGTTCTCCTGCACTGCTAAATATTTAAGGTTGCTGTGAAAGCCTCTTAGGATTAGAGGCTCCCAATTACATTAGTCAGTTTGACTACCCTGCTGTCATTCTGTGTATCTCACTCTACACACACGCACATGCACACACGCCCAAATCCACTATAATAGTTGACATAGTATTTCTTGTATCTGGATTATCATCTGAGAAGTGA